AATAACCAATTTTATATTCAGGACTCAAAGATCCTCTTTTTCATTATTAATAACCAATTGTTAGTAGGGGTTTTTCTCTTTTTATTCCCTCATTCAAAGCCCAGACTTTGTGAAGGACAAGGCTGACAATGAGACATTCTCCTCAATCTTGGGGGGAACCCCACCCAACTAGAAGAATTCATTTCTCATTAAAGGGGAAAGAGAATCTAATCTATATGAATCTTAGCCCACTGTTCAACTATTCAAATGGTCTGGCTGGAGATCCACAGGTTTCCAAAGTGGGTGATACCACCCTGGGAGGGGCACTGAAACAATCCAAAGGGGCCATAGTAGCCTTGGGTGCAATTGAGGGGCATTGAATGAAAATAAGGAGGCAGTGGAAGCATAAGTAAAGAAGAGAAGTTAAGAAAATTTTGACAAAACCATACATGGTTCATCTGTTGTGTAAGAGTTAAAGACATAGTGATTACACTATTTTCCAAATAAACACAAAAAATGCAAGTTATAATCAATCAGTGGTCAGTCTGCCAATAGGTCTTACCAAGCAACTGTTGGCAGGGAAGCGAGTCTCACATTGTTGAAAAGTCTAGCATGCATTGGCAAGAACATGTGCATGTAATGACTTGTTTACAATACAATACTCTGTGAATACATGATGTAATGTTATGTCATCAAAATTTCAATGCAGGAAAAACCCCACAAATTTACAATAAATTATTAAATTTAAGATGCAGAAATTTGTTTAAAAATTATATATTTTTTTGAAATGATGCAAATTTTTTAAAAAGTTAAAGGGTTAAAGAAAATAGATTTCCAGGGAGGCACTGAGTAATTTTTTTTTTGAAAAGGGGGCAGTAGGCCAAATAAGTTTGGGAACCTCTGGTCTAGATTGTTGATGTGGGAATGGCCTGACTTGAGATGAATCTTTTTTGTCCAAGAACACTGACAGGATCAGAGTCACATTCACCAGACCTTCATTAGAATAGGCTCACCTCTCATTATAATATTTATTCTCTCATTAATTGTTAGCCAATCAGAGTTGATTTCTACCTGTCAGGGACAACCTTTTTTTCCCAAGGTATTTAAACTAAGTGGCCTCCACACAGATTCTTTGGTTTCTGAGAGAACCACTGACCTCAATTTATTGATTACATACTAGCCTAATTAATAAGTTGATTATTAATTACTTGGAAACTATGTCCCTCAAACTTTTCATTCATTTCTTATGTAAGGAAACTGAGGCTCAAAAAGATTAAATGAGGTGTTACAAGAAAATCTTTCTATATCACATTGTCTATGTCAGGAAAAACTAGATAATTTTAATATTCACCTTAATTCTGATTTTAGACAAAAACACTAAATTTCTACTTGGCCACTCCTAGATCCCTCCCACAGGCTTACTGTATATAAGGTCCATCTTGTCTCCATTAAGTTGCTCAGACTCCTAAAATCTAGTCACTGCTTAGATTCTTATAATCTAGCCAATAATCCAATAGCTTACTAATGTTCAGACTCCTTAAGAGTCTGCCCAATATGATGGATGTTCTAATAAACCTTGTCTTTGACTGAAAAAAAAAGACTAAATTTGTTTTTGTATAAAAAAAAATGAGAATCTTCCAAATAAAGAGAATCATGTAAAGACTGAAAATATTCTTTTTGACTTTTTAGAAGGAGAAAAAAAAATCAAAATTTATAATTTTGCTTTATCTCTTTATGTATTGTTCTTGCAAGAGGAGTAATTCATTTATTCATTCTATGAGTACTGAGCACTTCCTATTGGTAAGACCCTGGGTTAAGTGCTGTGATTGAAAGTATTGCAGCACAGGGGCAGCTAGGTGGCACAGTGGATAGAGCACCGGCCCTAAAGTCAGGAGGACCTGAGTTCAAATCCAGCCTCAGACCAAACACTTCACACTTACTAGGCAAGTCACTTAACCCCAATTGCCTAAAAAAAGAAAGAAAAAAAAAGTGTTGCAGCACTATGATCATTGTGAAGGAGTCATAGTATTTAATTTTTACTAGAATCGTAACACTGAAATTTCCTTTCCTTAAGTCCTCCAGGTATGGGGAGAGCCTGCTTCCTTTCCCACAAAGTCCTCTTACCTACCTTCATTATGTTTTGCAATTCTCCACTGGGCATACCCACATCTGGTCCTTTGATTCTCCCAAGATCCCAAGTATTGGCAGCTCTCACTTAGGGTCTTGCCCCCATCTACCTGCTGACTGGCTCCCCTCACCCCTGACCCTTTCTAGGGCTTGAGGAATTGGGTACACTCAGGGGAATGAACTTCTCTATCTTCAGTATAATTCTTATACTGAAGATACATATATACAAAAATTCTTAGCTATAACTGGTTTTCCCTATAATCTTCACTCATTGACTTAGTTTAAAATAAACCATTCAACCTCCTACTTTTTTCATTCTTCTTAATCTACACCATGCCTCCTCATTACTGGTTATTGAGGCAATGACTTAAAGCAGTTTGTCTAGTTGTACCCATCCTGGCCCTCCCCTGGGCAAGGTGTTATTTCTTAACCAAGACTTTGTTGGTGACGTAGTATGCACTATATGCAGGATATATGCATTATAGTCAGGATCAGGGTTCAAAATCTGGCTCTACAACTACCTGTGTGACTTTGGGAAAGTTATTTGCTCTCACTGGGCTTCAGCTTTTTCATCTGGAAAATGAGGGGAGTTAGATAAGATGTACTTTAAGAAAGGTCCCTTTTAACTCTAAATGTATACAGTAATAATAATAATATCACATAGTGCTTTAATAATAATACCATCACATAGTGCTTTAAGGTTTGCAAAGCATTTCATATGTGTTATCACATCTAATGCTATATGTGAGCAACAGATTACTCAGGAGTGATATCAGATTGCACCCGAGGGTATCAAGGCAAGGTTAAAAGATGTTTCAAGTTATGACTCTTTAAGATGTAGAAGGAGAAGGGAGAGTTGGGCTGAAGCAGAACATACTAGGAGGACAGTCGTTGATGACTACTTAACCTCTGGGCCTCATTTGTAAAAATTAAGGGATTGGACTAGATGCCACCAAGGTGCCTTCTAGCTTTAAGTCTGTGATTCTCTAACTTAGAGATTCTGCACATATTTAAGTGACTTCATGTTTCCAGGTAAAATTATCTCTCTCTCTTTTTGTCTCTGCCTCTCTCTGTCTCTGTCTGTCTCTCTTCTCTCTGTCCACTGATGAATTGGCACTGAAGTTTTCCCCTGTTCTGTTTCTGACCTGGGTTGGTTTGTTCCCTTCCTTAAGGAGTCCCATGGCCCACCATGTCCCAGGGGGCTCACCCTATTGGTGTTGACTTAGTACTTGATTGACTTTAGCCCTACTACAGCTCTAAACTTTTGAATTCAAGCAATCCACCAGCCTCAGGCTCAGGAGCAGGAACAGGGACTACAGGCAAGCACCATCTTACTGGTTTCCACCTAATTCTAAATGTGTATGTTACATTTGAGTTACCAGGACCTAGGTACTCATTATTGCTGTTCTTGGGTTTTGAATTTAAGTGATGGGGCACTGGTTGTGTTCTTACTGAGGATGATATCTAGGGAGAGAGCGAACTCAAGGATTTGATCAATGGGTGAAATTCCTGAATTACAAGATTTGCTTGGTTTTTTAAAGATTCAGCACCATCAACTATATCTGATAATGGGGAGAGCAATGAATTTAGAGATGGATGTAAGATTGCAGCTTTTTAAAGTCACAAAGTATACTTACCATCAACAGTCACCAGTTTAGACCCTGACTATTCAGGATGTTTCTAATTTGACTACATGTTGAATTATCTTCTCCTAGAAAAGTATGGTAGATAAGCCACGATGTGGTTGTTTTGTGCTTTTACATATTAAAGCTGTTACTAGATTAGTGTAGTGGAAAAGGCCCTGGATTTGGAAGCAAAGGGGTCTTTGCTTTTAAATTTGAATACTGGATCTGACACTTACAACTTGTGGTGCTGTTGTTGTTGTTTTTGTTTAGTTATTTCAGTCAAATCTGACTCTTCATGACCCCTTCTGGGGTTTTCTTGGCAAAGACACTGCAGTGGTTTGCCATTTCCTTCTCTAGTTCATGTTTTTGTTGTGTTTTTTAACAGATGAGGAAACTGAGGCAAACAGGGCTAAAGTGACTTGCCCAGGGTCACACAGGTAGTGTCTGAGGTCAGATTTGAACTCAGGACTTCCTGACTCCAAGAGTGGTATTCTATCTACTGCACCACCTAGCTGCCCTTACAACTTGTGTGACCTTGATAAATTCATTTTATTACTACCAGTTCCAGGTTCCTTGTCAGTAAAATGGGGAGGGGGAGCAGGTAGGTTAGATGACCTCAAAAGTTCTTTCCAGCTTTAAATCCAATTGAGTTATTTGAATAAAATTAAATTTGGTATTTAATTACCATGGTCTACCTAGCTAGATTTAGCAATGTATAAATGCAAGCTATTTAGATTTTTATTGAGTCCATTCATACTATAAATAGTAAATTTATTGTAATTTATTGGGCTATCCTCCTAAGCCTCAGTGAATAAATGCTCTTTGGTGACATGATACATTTTTCTTTACTGTTGATCAAGAGATATGTGAGTGTGTATGCATGCGAGCATGTGTGTGTGTGTGTGTGTATGTGTGTATGTGTGTGTGTATAGACATAGACATATCATTGCCTAATTAAAACTCCTTTGCTCATTTCCCCAGGAAATATGTGTGTCATTTTGGAGCCTGCTAATTTTTCTATCAACCTAGAAGAGATTAATATAAATGTCTTATTCTTTTAATGTCACCATATAAAATGAGAAAGTAGCTTTCAAGGTCACTTTGGGTTGTCCATGATAATCTAGGGTTTTATTTGATTGAAGTTTTAAATTTTGAAAATTATGGGCATGATTAAATATTTCCTCTTTGTGTAAATTTAATTACATAATAGAAATAAAACATAGTCTGGGCATAGTACACATTAGAGAAATACTACTCTGTCATAGGTGATTGAATGGTTGAAGCTACTTTTAATGACAATTTTACCAGAACTTGTATACAAAGTTTCATACAGATTACTAACAAGGATATTGCAGCGGTTGCAGGAATGTTACCAGCTCAACAAACATCTAACGATACAATATTCTTCTAAGAGAAAGCAATAATGTTAGATTTACAGACAATAAAGAGTTGTGTTCTTCACTTTGAAACATTAGAAATAAAAGTTCAGATAATCCAGCGTCTCGGCTGCTTATTATTACAAGAAAATGTTTCCCTTCTTGGGGAACCATATATCCCCAGCACCCAATATACGGAATCTATCTGAAGATAGCTTTTAGGTGGCCATAGCAACTTAAACACACTGCCCTATCTGAAAAGCACTGATTTTGAGGCCACTGCTTATACATCTGGCTTTTTGTTTTAAACTTATTTACATACATTCAGCCCAAATCAGTATATAAAATGTCTTGTCTATGTTATAATAGGTAACTTTAACATTTCATCGGAGGGCCAGTGCAAGAAAAAACCGTTTTAGCCATAGCACAGCATTTAGATCTTAAAATATCATACAAATATACAATTAGATCATGAGGAGTCTAATTTTGCACATGATATAGGTGGTCTCTTTTACAGATATGGAACACCTGAAATGAACAGACAGAATGATAACTACAGTGCCATTCAAGCAGGGCCAAGTTCTCCCACAGTGGATGGCGCCGCTTATTTCTCGCAGAAGTGATCTGAAGCACCAGAGTCTCATTGGCTTCTGATGGTGCCGTCACACAGCTTTATGGGGTCCTGATAATTAGCTGGTGTTTAGGTAAGCAATCTGCATGACTTAGCGCATCATAAACCTCAAGTTTCTTTTACATATACATATGCACATATACATGAATACACATACATATGTACATATAATGAAAGAAATTTGGGCTTGGTGACCAGTTACTGGGTGGATTGCAGCTGTGAAGACCAGGCCAAAGGAACCTTCCTGTGCTTGGGTCAGCTCCTAAAAAGAAATAAAGTCACCTAGGAATATGGTCCTTCATGAACTATGGCCCACAATGGTGAAGTGCTCAGGACTAAGATACGTGAATTGCTTGATAATTTTTAATCAGCAATGGAAACCTGATGACTGTGAAGCAGGATTGCTTAAAGCACACACACACATAAACCACATTAAAGAAACTAGCTTTGCTTAAGGAACTGATTTGTTATACTGTCATTCTAGTGACTATATTCAGCAGGGAGTAGATTTCTGTCACTTGAGTTAGCAAGTGATTGGAAAAAAAAAAGGCAAAGTGTGCAGAACTAGTTTAGAATGTATGTATGTAAGGTATTATAATAGATACATGATAGTATCTCACAAGATGCTATTTTTATTATATAGATAAGCACCGAGTTTAGTGCTGACAGCCCCATTGTCCCTTGATTTATTACATACAATTTAGATCTTGAAAGCACAACAAATTTACAAAATCTGCATTGACTTCACAGGAACACAGTTTCAAAAAAAGGATCTTAGATTTTTTTTTTTAATGATTGGCCTTCCTCCAACTCTTCTTCCTACTCACTTTCACTGAGGCCAGAGTTTCATAACAGAGTGGAGAGTTGGTAGCTACCTGGTGAATTCTGAACTGTGCAGATAACCACTTTGGATAATTCAGGGCAAAAGAATGGTTAACTTTTTTTAAAGGGCTATTAGGCCCTAGTAGAATTTATTCATAAATCAACCTTCTATTTTTCTATAGAGAAATCATTACTACCATAGCACCCTAAGACCTCATCTGTACAGACCAGAGATACAAAGACAGAATTTGAGGCAAATTTGGACTATGAAAACAACTAATTCCAGTTTTGCCCACATAGCAATTTGGCCAGAGACCATAATTGTGGGATGGGAGAATGGGGATAAGAATAGTAGAGAAACTTTTTTTTTCACTGAATCCACCAGATAATTGGAAACTTTTTACTTCACCTTGTGCTGTACAGAGCTGGCCTCGGGGTGCTGCAGGAGTAATGATTTGTCTCTGGAAGGAGAGAAGATTATTTATAAATAAAATCCATCAGGGTTCATCAGCCTTTTAAGAAATCCTATTCTTTCCTGGCAGAATGTCCATTTCTAGGCCCCTATGACATTGTGAAGGAATGAAAGATTGGGACCTAAAAAAAGCCTCATTTTGACCAATTTTTACTTGTCAATAAATCACAGTCAACTGCCTGGATTGAGACAGCAGTCTCATAAAAGCAGAGTTTGCGCAGGAAGTGCAAGACAGAGAGGTCTGCGTATCTACCAAGTGAATCTGGGTAGAAGAGAGGTGATCTTGCTGATTTGGGCTCCAAAAGTGAGTCAGGCTCCAATAATCAAGAAAGCATCTCTTCAGTATCTAAATAAGCTACCCAGCCCACCACATCCTTGTGCAATGTAGGCTGTGACGAGCAGTCATGCATGCCTCATTAGAGGTGGATTTGAGGAATGCCTGAGATCTCTTTAGTGCCATTAAAACTAAGATTCACAAGGGCTAGATGAACTATTACTTTTTTTTTTAATGATTTCAGGCTTAGTGAGGCACGTTCATCTTTTATAATGAGGTCTGCCTCCTTAGAGATAGATAGGGATAGGACTCTCAAATGAGGAAATTCCCTTTACCAATGCAGGTAGGCAGCTAGTCTGCAGTTTATCATCTTCCACATTTGCCTAGAGTAATTAGAGCTTAAGTGACTAGGTGACTTGTTCATGGTCGTGTAGCCAGTATGTGTCAGAGAAGACCCTTGAACTCACATCTCCCTGGCTCTGAGGGCATCCCTTTATCCATTCATTCTACCATGCTGCCTCCATATATATGTGTATATACACACATACATACATGTATAGTGTGTATATGTATATATATGTATGTATGTATGTATATATATATTCTGTGCCCTAAGCTGGAAAATTAGAATAATTTTCTTTAGCATTGAAAATACAGAATTTTTCATTGAATATATTTAATCAATTGCTCCTTGATAAGTATTGTTCTTGAGTAACACTAAAGGATACTTTTTAATGCTTGGCATACTTTCTCAAAGTGGATGAAAATTTTCTGATTTTTTTTCTTGCAGTTTGTAGTTTCATTAACCAAGATGCTTAAAAGAACTCAATTTTAGAAACTGAATTCATGTGCAAAGAGTGCAACAAGTAATACAATTTACACCTAGTCACAGTTTTCTAACTTTATAATATCACTGTGACACACACACATTTACAATCTACGTACGTACATACACACACACACACACACACACACACACACACGGAAATTCACACTCACATAGTATACTTTTGCTAATCCAGACAATACTTCTTTTCAATTAAAATAAATGAAGACTCTTATTTGACCTCCCAGGCAGAGAATCTACTTAAACCTGGAATATAAGAATGCAATACTCTTCAAGTATACGTCAACGGCACAATAATAACACCTTACATTAAGATTGACACATGCTGTCTTAAAGATCTGGGGATAGCTAAAGACTTAAGGAAAAGACCAGGTGTTGGTTGAAAAAGCCACTAATCCTTTGCTCTTCAATTCTTGGAGTCATACATTACAAAAGCAAACAGCAATAGTCCAGAAGACTCTAACTAAATGTCCTTATAAGAAAATGCGAACTGAATTATTTTAGAATTCGAAATTGCAACTTCAAGTTGCAAAGTTGGGGTTGATGAATATTGTTCAATGTGAGGAATGGGTCTTTAGTCTTCTGTTATTCTTATGTTATGTTAAAAAGAAAAATGAAGGGTTGAGGGTATTTGAAATGTCCAAAGAAAAAATGAAAAACTTGGAGACAATAAAGTATAATATTTCTGAAGTGGAAGATTGACAAATAAGGGTTTTTCACTGGGACTTATCCACTGCATATTCGGTACTGTTTCCATAGAAGTCTGTATCTTTCTATATTGCCCAACTAGACAAATATAAATAACATGTAATACACATCGGTACACAATTCACAGGACAATACAGTTTTACAAGATAATCCTAATTCTGTACTGCAGCTTTTAGGGGGAAAAACAGAAACCTCTGTTACTTATAGACTTCAAATACATTTTACATTAGCATGAAAGTTATGGTTACAAAGGCTTTACTCATTTGATGGAATTTTTCAAACAGCTACTTCAAGTTTGGATCATGTGCCCCCCACAAGTTTTCCATTTATTTCATCAGAACTTGCTCCTTTATGTAGTCAAACATAGGTGATTCAAGTAACATGCTTTAAAAAAAAAAGGAACAAACCAATTTTCTTAATTATAAAACCTTTGAAGAGTTGTATTTCAATTTCCCATTGTTTAAATGACTAATGATCATTGTGACAATTACCTTTTAACTGAATATGCTAAACTTAAAAATGTGAGAGGATAGACTCCTTTAAACAAACAAATAAACAAAAAAAAGAGCCTAATTTCTTTTCTCCCAATGTGGCTGAGAAGTCTTCAGCTCACAATGCTTCAGCTGTGGTATCCGTAGACACAGACATGGTTACTTTGGCAATCTTAACTGTACTCTTGATGCAACTTTCAGCAGCCCTGTGAACGTTGCCTGCACTATTTGCATGTTTGTGCGGGCAGTCGGATTCCCCCATACTGTTATCAAGGGGCTGTGCCGTGCCTTCACAAGTGGGGAACATGCTCCGGAAAGCATGCCTCAGGTCCTTGCTCCTCAGAGCATATATTATAGGGTTCACGGTAGAATTCAGTAAGCAGAGCATACTGCAGAAAGCAAACACTGTCTTAATGAGTTTGTTCATTTTCCCAAAGACATCGTAGACCATGATGGCAAGAAGTGGACCCCAGCATATGATCAGGACCACCAGAATAAGAACAAGGGTTTTGGCTAACCTAATGTCCATGCGGGTTTGGTCAGGCCTAGTGACCTGAACTTTGCCATCCTCTGACGTGTGAATAATGATGCTCTTTTGAGTACCTCGTTGGATCATTCTGACCGCGTGACTGTGTGCTTTCCACAATATATAAACATAAGCATACACAATGAACAGAAGTAGAATACTAGTGACACCAATCCAGAACATCAAATAGGTTTCATCAATAAGAGGAAAGATGTCTGAGCAAACTGACTGGAGCTTCTTGCAATTCCATCCTAGCAAAGGGAGTACAGCAATCACAATGGCAATGGTCCACATGACACAAAAGGCTACCACAGCCTTTGGTCTGGTGACGATCCTCTTATAAGCAAGAGGCCTGTGAATGGATATGTATCTGTCAATGGCCGTGAGGAAGAGGCTGCCAACTGAGGCTGTGAAGGAGGCTGTCACTCCGCCCAATTTGAACAAAAATACATTTGGGCTATCTTTCCGGTGGAACACGTGAAAATCGACAAAGCTGTAGACAAAAATGACACTGCCCAGCAGGTCTGCCACTGCCAGGCTACCAATAAAGTGATAAGAAGGCCGACAGCGGAGGCTACGAGAGTGGAGGATGACACACAGCACCAACAGGTTCTCCAGGACTGTGAAAGTACCCAATGTGAGGGACAATACTGCAATGGCCAGCTGCTGACTAGGATTTAGAATCATGAAGCATTCCATGTCCATGAAGTTCTCTCCACACTGGATATTCTCCTCATTATCCTTGTATGAGGATAAAGATTTGTTGTTGTAAAACTCTGTGATATTTATCTGGTCTGATGGAATTAGCTGGGGATTATCTCCCACAGTCATTTTTTCTTGGAATGGACTACCCCTAAAAGAAGTTAAAGGGAACTTCTGTGGGAAGTAGCCTAGTTTGGATGCCATGTTGCTTTTGATATCTTCGTACTGAATGTCGTTAGAGCCTGCGTAGAGGAGATCTGTTGTGATGGTCCGGAAGGTGGTATCCGCGAGGCCATCTAGGTTGGACTTCATAACCCCTGTCTTCAATTATGCAAATTTTGAATGGACCCCAAAGAAACACAGGGGAGGGAATCCTAGTGGGAGAGGAAACAAAAGAAACAGTTAAGGAAGATGAAATCAAGGAGACACAAAATAATACTATAAACAATGAGCTCCAAAGTTAGGCAGCTAGGAGGCACAGTAGATAGGGTGCTTGGCCTGAAGTTAAGAAGATCTGATTTCAAATCTAGCTTCAGACACTTGCTAGTTGTGCGACCTTGGGGAAGTCACTTAACCTCTGTTTACCTCAATTTTCTCAATTGTAAAATGTGGATAATAATAGCACCTATCTCCCATAGTTGTTATAAGGAACAACTGAGAATAACTGTAAATCACTTAGCATGGTGCCTGGCACATAAAGATAATAGGACTCTATGAACACTACCTATTATTAAGTGTTATTTTGTGATATGGTTGCACAACATACAGAATCAACTAAGGAGTTTGATCTCACTTAACAACAATATGTTGAAAGAGCATTGGACCCACAATCAGGAGAGATTTGAGTCTGAATCTTGCCACTGATGAAGTCTGGATACAGATCAAGCTGTTCTCAAAACCATTAAAAATTAATCACTGTTTTGTGAGAAAGCCACAAAGAGATATGATACCACTAAGCACTAAAGTCATCATTTCTCTAGAATCCTTTACACTAAACCTCTCCTCCACAGGTCACAGCTCTGTCAGATTATGCTCTGATAGATTTTTGTTCTTTATATCTTTAACTCCTATTTATTACTGAGATCTTAAGAGATGATAGCCCCCGAGTTAGAAGGGACCTCAGAGACAACTAGTTCAACCTTTTCATATTACACAACAGGGAACTAAGTTCCTGGGAAGTTGTGATTTACCCAAGTAGTAGACTCTCATTGATCTTTCAGTATCTGCTCCCATCTTACTTTGCTTTGATCTACTCCCTTAAATATAATCTCTACTTTGGTCAGATATTGATCTCTTCACTGCCCATGAACATACAACTGAAAGTTGGTGAGCAGAGGACTAACATGATGAAAGGAGAATTTAAGATAGTAAGTGTTGGAGAGAAGATTCAAACCCAGATCTCTGATTCTAATACCAACTTTTTAAAAAATTTCATTATGCTGACTCTCTAGGCATCATGGGGGACAAAATAAAATGAACAGATTTTCTTCATTTACAGTGAACTTACAATCTAATTGGGGAGACAATTCAATTTAATAAAATGTATTAAGAACTTTATTTGAGCTCAGCACTGTGCTAGGCATTGGTAATACAAAGACAAAAACGAAATAGCCTCTGCTCAAGAGATTTCTCCATGATCTGGCAACTAGCAACAATTCTAACCTTTTCTAATACTGCTTCCTTTTGTGAACTCTCTATTATATTTAGACCTGTTCTACTCAAGAAGTAATAAGATAGAGCAGAAGAAATGCTGGCTTTGGAGTTACTCAACACCTGAGTTCAATGCCCACCTTCAACACTTATTAATTATGTGACTGTTGGCAATTTTAATAAGAAAATTAGAAACAGAATTTTACTAGGGACATGGATGCTAGAAACAGAACAGTGTATTTTATAGTGGAAAATGGAGGGAAATAGTTCATTCATCCCATTCCATATTGGTTTCTATTTTATGTCCAACACAATGCTAATAAAAACTACTATTGCGCGTACATTTTCTCATTTGACCCTAATGACTTTATAAGATAAGTAACCATAAATATGGCTGTCACCCCCCATTTTGTAGATGAGGAAACAGGTTCAGAGAAAATTAAATGACTTAACAAGTTCACAAAGCTAGTAAACGTTGGAGAGTAAATTCAAACCCAGATTTGATTCCAATACCAACATTAAAAAAAAGTCATTATGCTGACTCTCTAGATGTTATGGGGGACGAAATAAAATGAATGATTTTCCTCATTTATGGTGAACTTACATTCTGATTGGGGAGACAATAAGCTTTTATTCAGACCTTGATTTTGGCCCAGCACTGTGCTAGGCATTGGTGATACAAAGGCAAAAATGAAACAGTCTCTGCTCAAGGATTTCTCCACTATTTGGCAACTATCTACGATTCTAACTTTTTCTAACACTGCTTCCTTTTGTGAAGCCTCTGCTACATTTAGAGTTGTCTAGTTAAGAGGCAATATGATAGATAGAACCGAAGGAATGCTGGTCTTGGAGTTACCCAACACCCGAGTTCAAAACCTATCTTGAACACTTATTAGTTGCATGACTGTGGGCAAGTCACTTATCTTCTCTAAGGTTCAGTATCCTCATCTGAAAAATTGGAATAGCAACACTTGTAGTATCTACTTAATAGGGTTATGGAGAAGATCAAATGTTTTGTGAACCTAAATAGTTTTATAAACTTAGAAAGTTATTATTATTTACATGCAATTCCTTTCTCCTCCCCAACCTGTCTTATGCCTCCTCACCTTTTGCCTGTGTCCTCCTCCCTGAAAAATCATTTTCATTTTCTGTACTTCCCCATCCTTCAAGGCTTAGCTCAAACATCACCTTTCTAATAAATGTTTCTCTAACCACAGCTGATACCATTTTCCTCCTCTAAATTTCAATAGTACTTCTTATGTATGATGCTTCTCATGATTTGCTCTGCTTTTTCAGTTTTCTCAATGTATATTCATCTTGTCTTCCTAACTAGACCATGAACTTCTTCAGAGTAGGAGTCATTTTTTATATTTCTTTGTGTGCCCACACAGTGCCATGGTGCATACGCTAGGTTGATAAGTACCATGATATACCCACAGATCTATAACAAAGATCATTTGGTCATCTTATCTTTCAGGTAAGTCTTCCACGCATGAAGATAGATGCCTCTCTCAGGTATCTGGCCAGCACTAGCCTTAAAGAGTATCATCTGCTCAAATACCATTTCAATCTCTAAATGGGAAAATCTGTTCTTTAGCTCATACAACTCATTAAGAGTAAGGCATCAGATCTGGGTTGGGTGGCACAAGCCTGTAATAGCTGCTCTTGTGGGGGAGGGGGGCTGAGAATAGTAGGCCACTTTGGCTTGAGGTTTTGAACTTCAGTAAGGTTTTTGGAAGCTCATCAGGTCTCAGTATTAGATAGAGCACCAGAATGATGAACCCCTCAGTGTGATGGCCCACCAGGCTGCCTAAGGTGGAACAAAGTGGCCCAGGTCAGAAATTGAGCAGATCAAAGCTTCTGGACTGATCAACAGGGGGATGGGACCAATTTGCACTTTCAACCTGGGCAAATAGGAAGACCTAGTATAAACAACAACAACATCAACAATAAAGTATGATTCCAGGAATATGCATTTTAGATGAGAAGGTCCTACAGCTTCAAAGATGTTTGAGCAAAGAAAAATATAAGAGACCAAAATTATCCGATGCTAATGGTTTTTATCCCTATGACTCAATTTGGTTACTGCACATGTGGCCAAAATTACAATTTAAATGCAACCATATACTCACATTAAAGCCAATTTTATAACCTTTCAGTTGTGGCCTACTATACAATTAGCCATCACCCAATAGAAGATAGGGTTGGGGGATGGAAGTAAAATCATATGATTTTCATGCTATTTGAGCATTCTAGTAATTTAAAAATGCCACTGTTCACATGCTATGGTAACAACAAAGTTAATGGGATCATGACAGACAAATCCCTCTCTGCATTTCAATAATTCTTCCTTCTATTTCTACATTTGGATTATTACAGTAATTTCCACCTTATTGTTTTTGCATTGAGAGTTTTCTTTGAGAGTACTTGGGAGTTCATTAGTAATATAGTTTAGGCTTCGGGGGATGTGGCTGACATTAATTTTGTTTGTGTTTGTTACTGGGAAAATCATAATTGGAAATCTCTGGCAAAATGTGTGGCTACACCTATTAAATTGGCAGTTGATTTTTATTAAAGTTGCAGTAAAACAGTGACTCAACAACATCTAAATGGGTTTTACTAGAGTTTTGCTTGTTTTAATACAGACAGTATATTGGGTCCATTTGAGCTACATATGGTACCTACAGTGCCACCCACACACTGTCTATTGGGTTGTACTGGAAAAATGCATTAATTTCTGGGTAATTGCCTCTCCACACCTCCACACTGATCCCCTCAAAATTGTCAGCATATAGTACTGTCAAAGGCATTTCAAGATTGCAGTATCAGTTTTTTAAATTGAGTTTCTACCCATAATTTCTATCAATTTTCCACAGTATTTAAAATCATAATTCTGACAGCTAGGCAATAGTAGGCATGCAATAAAAATACTTTAATTGGGGCCATGTTTTTTTTTTTGCTAGTATAATTGAATGGCAAGTGATTTGTTTTAGCTTTCATGTTCTCATTCAAGAGATGAATTTCTTTATGCCAGCTAAATCTTCACCTAAATCACAATTTCATTGTGGTGGCTGTTTTGAGAAATAGAATGCTTCTAATATTTTTTTTTCTTTTAGAAAAGATGTGTAGCTGATATCTGTATTAAATTAGGTTAGCTGCCATCTGTACTTCATGTAGTTTACTTTCATATTTTGTCAGATAGAAAGCTGACAGATGGAACAATGGGATCCTCTATAGTAGCAGTTCTTAACCTTGGGTCTACAAACCCCTAAGTGACCCACGGAAAAATTTCAGGAAGTCCATTAGTTTGGATATGAAAACATTTCCCTGATCTCTAACTAAAATTTCATGTTTCCTTTAATCATGATTTAAAAAAAAACATTATTCTAAGAAGGGGTCCATAGGCCTCACCACACTGCTAGTAGTGTTCATGAAACAGAAGGTGAAGAAGCCTGTGTTCTGTAGGTAATGCTGTCCACACTGATGTTGACTTTTCAGGGTTTATTTTAATCCAATATAGTGCCGTTTCAAAATAAGGAAGAATTAACATGGGAAAGTTCTATTTTGAAGTCTGATTCTTACCAAAAAAGAGAACACTGGTTGATGGGACGGAAATGATGGGAACCTTGGGAGGAAGTTGCCGTTCAGTTTTAGAGTATGTAATGGAACAGACAAAAGCTGAGAATAGTCTAACATGAGCCCTAAATTGTAGGAAAGTAAATTT